TGAGGGTCAGTAACACCGACACTGACTTCAGTCATAAGGTAAAGGTACCCCTGCCCGTACGGGCCAGTCTTGACAGACTCTAGGGTTGTGCGCCCATCTCACTCAAGAGGCTGGGGGCCAGCACTGTCCGGAGACACTTCCGGGTCACGTGGCCAGCGTGACAAGCTGCATCTGGCGAGCCAGCGCAGCACACGGAACGCCATTTACCTTCCCGCTAGTAAGCGGTCCCTATTTATCTACTTGCACCCGAGGGTGCTTTCGAACTGCTAGGTTGGCAGGCGCTGGGACCGAACAACGGGAGCACACCCCGCCGCGGGGATTCGAACCGCTGACCTTTCGATCGGCAAGCCCTAGGCGCTGAGGCTTTTACCCACAGCGCCACCCGCGTCTGACTTCAGTCATAGGTACATGCTAAAATCTATCCCTTTTATAGCTCTCTATAGACTTTGCTACAGGTTGTTAAGGAGTAATACCTCACCTTTAAGTCATTTAAGGTGTTGATAGCTTGAAATGTGCTCACTCACCTCCTTTTAACACATCAGCTCTGACTCAAATATAAGAAAAACTGCACAAACGCTAACATAGTTTCTCACAGTTTCACCCGGGCTGTTCCCAAATGGGGCATTTTCGGAAAAAAGAAAACCCAATGATTGATGTAGTATTGAAGAGCAGGGTTTCTCTGTCCACCCATCCATTTCCCTCTCAGCATATCAAAACCCTTTCCCTCCTGTTCTTTCCTTCTCTTTTGTCCCCCCTCCCTACCCGCCTCTTTCTGTTTCCGAAAGCTCCCTCTGGAGGAGAGTGCCCAAGATCACACACAGGACTCCAGATTGAAGTTGGTCTGTGTATCTTAGCAACGGCCGTGTATCGGAAAGTTCAAGGCGTGGGGGTGAGGGAAAGTCATATACCAGCACTTGTGGAAGCAGAATAAACCTGAAGGAAACATACTTGGGCCCACTTGTTCTCCCATCCACCCTCCCACTCTCATTTCTCATTGAACACGCTCCCAAACATGGCTGTTTTCAAATAAATGCACTTGTTGAAGCCGCTCGGCGAAGAGGAGAAGGGTTGACACCAGATATTGCCTAGCACCAACACGGAAACTAATTTCAAGGATTCCTACTCAAGCAAAGAAGAAGAAAGCCCAACTGCAAGAAATTTAAAGAGGCTGAAAGGAATGACAAATGGTGAGGTCTTGGAAGCGTTGAAGTGTGCCTGTCTTCACAAAGCTCTCTTAATCTGTTCGGGTTTTTTTTTTGACTGCCATTTAGCTTTCAAAGGCCGCTACTTGGGGAGGGAGAAGATGGCAATGTGAGCATCAGAACACCAGGAGAGCTCTGCTGGATCAGGTCAAAGCCCCATCTAGCCCCATCTTCACAATGGTCACCCAGATGCCTCAGGGGGAAGCCAGCGAGAAGGACCCAGGTGTAAGAAGGACCCAGGTGTCTGAAGGAGCATCTCCACCCCCATCGTTCTACCCAGACACTGAGGTCCAGCACTGAGGGCCTTCTGGCGGTTCCCTCACTGTGAGAAGCCAAGTTACAGGGAACCAGGCAGAGGGCCTTCTTGGTAGTGGCACCCACCCTGTGGAACGCCCTCCCACCAGATGTCAAAGAGAACAACAACTAGCAGACTTTTAGAAAACATCTGAAGGCAGCCCTGTTTAGGGAAGCTTTTAATGTATGATGCACGACGGTATTTTAATATTTTGTTGGAAGCCACCCAGAGTGGCTGGGGAAACCCAGCCAGATGGGCGGGGTATAAATAAACAACAACAACAACAACAACAATAACAACAACAACAACAACAATTTATTTATACCCCGCCCATCTGGCTGGGCCTCCCCATAGAAACCAAAAATACACTAAAATATCACACATTAAAAACTTCCCTGAACAGGGCTGCCTTAAGATGTCTTCTGAATGTCAGGTAGTTGTTTATCACTTTGACATCTGCTGGAAGGGCGTTCCACAGGACGGGCGCCACTACCGAGAACGCCCTCTGCCTGGTTCCCTGTAGCTTTGCTTCTCGCAATGAGGGAACCGCCAGAAGGCCCTCGGCGCTGGACCTCAGCGTCCGGGCAGAATGATGGGGGTGGAGACGCTCCTTCAGGTATACTGGACCGAGGCCGTTTAGGGCTTTAAAGGTCAGCACCAACACTTTGAATTGTGCTCGGAAACGTACTGGGAGCCAATGTAGGTCTTTCAAGACCGGTGTTATATGGTCTCGGCGGCCGCCCCCATTCACCAGTCTAGCTGCCGCATTCTGGATTAGTTGTAGTTTCCGAGTCACCTTCAAAGGTAGCCCCACGTAGAGCGCATTGCAGTAGTCCAAGCGGGAGATAACCAGAGCACGCACCACTCTGGCGAGACACTCCGCAGGCAGATAGGGTCTCAGCCTACGTACCAGATGGAGCTGGTAAACAGCTGCCCTGGACACAGATTTGACCTGTGCCTCCATGGACAGCTGTGAGTCCAAAATGACTCCCAGGCTGCGCACCTGGTCCTTCAGGGGCACAGTTACCCCATTCAGGACCAGGGAATCCTCGACACCTGCCCGCCTCCTGTCCCCCCCAAAACAGTACTTCTGTCTTGTCAGGATTCAACCTCAATCTGTTAGCCACCATCCATCCTCCAACCGCCTCCAGACACTCACACAGGACCTTCACTGCCTTCACTGGTTCTGATTTAAAAGAGAGGTAGAGCTGGGTATCATCTGCATACTGATGAACACCCAGCCCAAACCTCCTGATGATCTCTCCCAGCGGCTGCATGTAAATGTTGAAAAGCATGGGGGAGAGGACAGAACCCTGAGGCACCCCACAAGTGAGAGCCCAGGGGTCTGAACACTCATCCCCCACCACCACTTTCTGAACACGGCCCAGGAGGAAGGAGCAGAACCACTGTATGACAGTGCCCCCAGCTCCCAGCCCCCCAAGACGGTCCAGAAGGATGTTATGGTTGATGGTATCAAACGCCGCTGAGAGATCCAGCAGAACTAGGAAACAGCTCTCACCTTTGTCCCTAGCCCACCGGAGATCATCAACCAGTGCGACCAAGGCAGTTTCAGTCCCATGATGAGGCCTGAATCCCGACTGGAAGGGATCCAAATGGTCCGCTTCTTCCAGGCGTGCCTGGAGTTGTTCAGCAACCACTCGCTCAATCACCTTGCCCAAGAATGGAAGATTTGAGACTGGGCGATAGTTGGCCATCGTGGCCACATCTAAAGATGGCTTTTTAAGAAGCGGTTTAATAACCGCCTCTTTCAGCAGGTCTGGGAAGGCTCCCTCACGGAGGGAAGCATTCACCACCCCACGAAGCCCATCGCCCAGTCCTTCCCGGCTAGCTTTCATAAGCCAGGATGTCCATCGATCCAGGAGACAGGTGGTTGGTTTCACTCGTCCAAGCAGCCTGTCCACATCCTCAGAGGTAACAGATTGGAATTGATGATGATGATGATGATGATGATGATTTCCCTGCTTGTGATTCCCAGGAACTGGTATACAGAGGCAATGGAGAGATCCTCTGGCAATGGAGCATTATGCAGCAATCATGGCTATGTTGTGAATATTCCCCAAACATTTCTCCTCTGCGCCCTTTCCCACCAAGAAACCACCACAGATCCTAAAGTTAGGGACACCACATTTAGGAGAATTCCAACAGTTTTGTAAACGTAAAAGGCAGCAATGAGAAATGGAGGCCAATACCTCTGGAGGGAAAAAAGTTTATTGTATTTGCTTCCTGAGGAAGTGGTTACTTGTCAGAAAGGGTGGGTATAAGTGGCAGCATTTCATAAAAACAAACTCTTTTTTTCCTGCCACCTTCCCTGCTCACCCACAAGGGCACATCACAAACAAGACCCCTTCCACTGAACGGAAGGCTGTGCTTAATAACCTCTCAATATGTTACAGAGCAAAGCTGCAGCGAGAATAATCACAATTATAGTCTTTTTTTTTTTTTTTTAAAAGAGAGCATTTCAGAGCATTCATTGAACTTCACATACATTCCTTACAGGGGCGCCATCCCACAGGGACCGAGCCCTCCCCCCAATATTTTTGGGAGGGGGTCAGGGCTTCCCCCCATGTTCAAAAGCAGTGGAGGAGGTCAAGCACGGAGCCAAGCAGGGCACAGCTTTAGAGGCTGGCTCCTTCTCCTCCTCCTCTGGTAGATGGGAAGGAGGGTTGAGGAGGAGGAGCCATTGAAGCTGTGCTGCCACCACATTCAACATCAGCCCTGCCATTCTCCTTCAGAAGCCGGCACCTCTGGTTCCTTCAGTCAGTAATCCTTACAACAACCTTGGAAGGTAGGTTAGGATACCCGTGTGGCAGAATGGGGTGCCGAGACTGTTCTCAGTGTTCCAGTCGGTGGTATGGGGACAATACTAGCAGAGAGGAAATGAGATTTAAATCAGGGACTTCCTGGTCCATAACTCAGGCTGTAATCCTATGAATACTCCCTTGGGAGTAAGCTCCATTGAATATAGTGGGGTGTACTTCTCAGTAAATAGGCATACAATCACACTGCACTTCTTGGCCACTATATTGCACTGACTCTCCAAAGACTTAAATCTTGTCCTACATTTTTGTCCAACAGACCTTGTTTTTCAGGTATACTGCCTATGTTCTGGGATGTTTCCTTAGTAATAACAGATCCTTTTTTAAAAAAGAGATTTTGGAATGGCTTTTAAAGCATTTTGTTAGTAAAATTCCCCTGTTAGTAAAGGACCCCTGGATGGTTAAGTCCAGTCAAAGGCAATTATGGGGTTGCAGCAATCATCTCGCTTTCAGGCAGAGGGAGCCAGCGTTTGTCCACAGACAGCTTCCCAGGTCATGTGGCCAGCATGACTAAACCACTTCTGGCACAATGGAACACTGTGATGGAAACCAGAGCACACAGAAATGCCATTTACCTTCCTGCCGCAGCAGTACCTATTTATCTACTTGCACTGGTGTGCTTTTGAACTGCTAGGTCGGCAGGAGCTGGGACAGAGCAACGGGAGCTCACCCTGTTGTGTGGATTCAAACCGCCAACCTTTCGATCAGCAGGCCCAAGAGGCTCAGTGGTTTAGACCACAGTGCCACCCGCTCCCATCATTTTGTTAGTGGGAACACATGGGAAGGTGCCTTATACTGAGTCAGACCATGAGGTCCATCTCGATCAGTACCTGCCCTGATTGCCAGCAGCTCCCCAGGGTTCCAGGCATGCGCCATTCCCAGCCCTGCCTGGAAGATGCTGCAAACTGAACCCGGGACCTTCTGTATGAAAATCAAGTGCTAAGGCCCTTCCCCAGATCTTCCTTTTTCTCCCATTTCCCATGTGCATAAGTTTCTTTCCTTTCCACTTTCCCATGTCCATTGAATCAGAACAGTAATAAACATTACCAAATGGGGTTGAGTCATAGCTATTCTCTAAGCCAGGATAGCCAATGTGGTGTCCTCCAGATGTCACTGGACTACAATTCCCATGATTCCTGATCATTGTCCATGCTGGCTGGAGCTGATGGGAGTTGGGATCCAGCCACATCTGTAGGGCAGCAGATTGGCTGCTCCTGCTCCAAGAAGTCCAATCAGAGTTGGGGTGAGATTAAAGTCCTATTTTAAGTAAACTGTTATGGTGGGCCGAGTTATTAATGCAGGGTATATTAGCACAGAACATCTTCAGCGATGTGCAATAATGCATGGATGAAGGTGGGATTGCTTCTTAGCAGAAATCCTTGGTCTGAGAATCATAAACATGAGAATCCCTGTTTTCAGCTGTAAGATGTTGGAGAGGACACAGACACTCTTGACCTTACTCAGCTGACCAATCATGTCAGCCAAGGAAATACATTACTTCCAACCCAAATCCCAGAAGCCTTTGCTCTACCTGCCACTCTGGTTGTTAGGCCTTGCTTTACTGTTTGAAAGCGGATATTTATCTGCCCACATCCCTCTCAGGCTTTCTGTTTTTTAGGAATCCCTTGCATTATGAATGATCCTTCCGTTTGTTATTCCAAATGAGTCACTGCCAGGGTGTTTCAGAGAGAAAAAGAGTCACTATAAGTAGCTAATGTTCATAACACTAGGCTTCTCAGAGATCCCAGGCTCCTCTGGCAGTGGCTTCTGTTCACTGCTCCCCCCTGCCCCACTGATGGGGGCACACTCTTGCATGCCATTGCCGTTTTGGGCAATCTTGCTGACCTCACTTGCTTCTGCCTCCATTTCGTCGTCTTCCTCTTCCTCTTCCTCCATCTTACCACCCGTGGTTGCTGCTGCTGCGATTTCTTGGTTCTGCACTCGGCGGGAGGGTCTGAGGAGAGCCCTGCGGAAACCCTGCTTGAAGCGGTACGAGAGGAAGCCATAGATTATGGGGTTGGCACAGCTGTTAGCATAGGGCAAGACCACGACAAGGAAGTAGATGCCAAAGAGAGATGGCTCCTCAGGCAAGGTCCAGATGACGTTGATGATGTTGAGCACATAGAAAGGTAGCCAGCAGAGGACAAAGACCGCAACAACGGCAACCACCATGCGCGTGACTCTCCGCTCGGAGCGCTTGCGCTTGGCTGTCAACGCTCTCACCTTTCTGCCTGACGACCGAACCTTGACAACAATAAGCAGGTAACATAGGCAGATGACCAGCAGAGGCCCAAAGAAGCCAAGAGTGGCTGTGTAGACAATGAAACCTGCTTTCCAGACTGAAGCTGGCTCAGGCCACTGGATGTGGCATGTGCTCATGCCCGGGGGGACATCTGAAAACATGACCACAGGCAGCACCACCACAGAAGACAGCACCCAAACAGTGGCACTGACCGCCTTGGCCACACGTGCCGTCCGCCATTTTGACGATTTCACCGGGTGCACTACCGCCAGGTAGCGGTCCACACTCATCACGGTCAGGCAGAAAATACTAGTGAACTGGTTTATAGCATCCACGGCCATCACTAGCCGGCACATGAAGGAACCGAAAGGCCAATAGGATAAGGCATTTTGTGCAGCCAAGAAGGGCAGGCCGAACATGAAGAGCTCATCGGCCAGCGCCAAGTTGAAGATGTAGACGTTGGTCACCGATTCGCTGACGGAATGGCACAAAACCACATAGATGACCAGGGAGTTTCCGGCTAGTCCCACCACGCAGACAATGAGGTAAACCAGAGGGATGAGGACACCGCTGACATCCAGGCCGAGCCTGGAAGCTTGGGATAGGTTCCCAGAAACAGGGGCCGCCCAGCTGGCTGTTGAATTCTCTTCCCAGGAAGCCAGTGTGGTGGTGAAGTTGAAATTGTCCATGGCAGAAGAGGGAGGTGATTATCCCACTGGATCAGTCGGAAGGGGTCTGCATTTGGGAAGAACAGGGAGGGAGGAGAGAGAGCTTGTAATGCATCTTATAGCAAACTAAAGGTAGCACCAGAGAGAGAAATGGGGGGAAAGTCCACTTTACAAGCTCCATTCATTTTGCCGGGGCATGAAGAGGAGCACAGAAGTTAATGGAGATTCCAGATTTTACAGCTGAGTGGCTCGGGCTCCTCTTGTACAGAAAGGTGCACTAAGAAGTCCCCATTGATTTTGATGGTCAGCAGACTGTAAACTTCCACCTTTCAGTTATCTGCTTCTTACATAGACTTAACTTTGGCTGGATCATGCCTAAAGTGTCTTACGAGGGACTCAGATGCTACCTATCTGAGTGCATGCCAAAGCTTTGTCTTTCAGTGTTTAGATCTATATCACCTAAACCAATAAAAATATTTTAAAGAAAATTCTGCCTTCAAACATAAACCCATTTAAAAAGATTTGTGCAAACAAACCAAAGCTATCACCCAAGGGGGGGGGGAGCATTGAGGGTTTGTTTTCTGTTGTGTGTTTTTTCAATCTAGCAGCATATAAATTTTATGAAATAAATGAATAAAACAAATAGTTTAGCTGGAAACTAGTGTTAAGCAGTTGCACTATGGCCTCAAGTGGCCTGCTGCCAAATATCAGTGCCCCAGTACTTGTTGCCATTTCTGTATTGACTCAAAGGTTGACAATGGCAGGAGAGAAGAGATTTGGCCCAGGGGCTGCTAGCTTGTGTCCCCAGTTCTCCAGTCATGGCATGGCCGAGAACTAAAACTAGCAGGGAAATTTCCAAGGATGGGAAAGGAAATGGAAGCATGCAGTGACCATAAGGCTGCTCAGAAAAGTGAGACCATCTCCATCCTCACTGTGTAGTTGGTTCTTAGGAATGATTGGGCCATTGGAACGTTATAGAAAATGGGAGAGATCTAAAAACTGATGAATTGGTCAGATTAAGTTACTGACACCCATATTGTATATATAATGGTGCATTCTACAAATGGCTCAGACTGAAATGCATATTTAGTTTCAGTTCATTTTAAAAATACTTATTATTATTATTATTATTATTAAATTAAATTAAATTCACTCGAAGATCTCAGGGTAGTCCACAAGAAACAAATACAGGATAAAAGCACAAATAAATAGAACAAAAACATAATGAAAAAAATAACCCCCCTGTCCCAAAACACATTTAAAAGGCTGTAGAATATTAATCAGCCCAAGGTCTGGGTGAAGAGGAACATTTTCACCTGGCGACTAAAGACGTCTAATGAAGGAGTGATATGAACTTCCCTGGGGAGAGAACTCCATACTTGACTTGTCAAAGATTCTTACTGAAAATGTGAACCCAAATCCAAAGCTGCAAATACCTTAAGGAGGAGATCTTGAAGAACTGGTCTCTGAATGGAGGAAGCCCTTTCAGCTGGACATGCATTTGCTGCTAACTGTATTCTCACTGAACAATCTATTGCTAGGTCATTTAACCTGCACCTTTTAGCCTGTTACTATGACACCCTGGCACATGGCTGGATTAATCATTATGCTCACTATATCCTATAATAAAGGCCCCTGTAAAGCTAAGTCTCTGATGCACTGTAATCACCCAAGGAACATCTATAGGTAGACTATAGTTGTCCACTATGCAGTTGTCCACAAGCCTCATTTAAAACTTTTGTCAACTTCAGAAAGCGGTGGTTGTTCCTATATAGAGGAGCATCAACCATGTTTCTTTCTGAACCCTTGGAAAATCTTTGTCTCCGTGACAGAAAAAGTGGAAGGACAGCAGCTGATAGACCTATCAGGCTTTTGCATGAAAAATGACACTCATATGCTTACAGAAAATCCTGAAGATGCTTGTATCGCAATGTTAAATTTCTGCTGGGGTTTTCTCCCCAAAGAATACTTGCTCCAAACTTAAGTCTTGGCTTCTGGGATTCAACAATGGGTAGAGGCAACCCAATACATTTTGCTGCCTCCAGAGTCAAGGTGTATATTACCCAAAGCTGGTCAAGATATTTGGGTACCTAAGACAGAAAATTCCACAAGTGCCTCTACCATCCCTTTGCTGCAAAAGTACTACAATAATAAATCAACTAACCATTTGCTATGCTTTCATGTCACTCAAAACCAGCTGCTTTCCCATTCTGCCTAATGGTAGGGCCAGTCCTGGAAACAGGGAACCTTCCTCAAACATCCTGTTAATAAGCGCCAATCCCTCCTCTAAATGTGTCGACATATCATCCTTATGTCCTTGATGACATTTCTGCATCCAGTGCTCCAATGAAACAAACCACCAGGCCTTCTGCCTGAATTTCTACAATTATATTACTTGGATGGAAGTGCTGCAGATCCAGGAGATGAATTGTTTTGAGAGAATAAATTGAATCAAGTAAAGCCAAGAATCCAGAAATATAATACTTCCCTGTACCAGAGACCCTTTATGAGACCCTTCATTATTCAGACTTTGGGCATTCAAAACCCCTTATTATTATCTGAATTTGCCACAGGGCTCTCAAGTACTCCTGTGTCAGTTTCACCCTCCATTAAGAGCTCTGCCACCTTCCCCAGACGCCTGATTACACCTCCCAGGTCATTTGAATAAATGATTGTAATACACAGTGAAATCACTAATTTTCCAATGAAGTCCCGTCGTCAGTCTCTTGATAGTATGTTAGACAAAGCCCAGAACTCATTGTTTAATGAGAGGGAGGACTAATGAGCTCTTTTCTGCTTCTAATTCCCCTTGTTATCCTTATGATTATTTTCTTTCTGCTGTTTTCACCCAACCAAAGACGTATTATTCTTGCAGACATGGGTAGTGCCAGAGGATGGGAAGCCAAAGCTGTTGCCATGAGACGGCCTGGGGTGGGCAGAGAGCTTCACTGCAGAGGTGAGAATTAGCTTGGGCAAAACGAGATGCCTTGTGGTCCTGGTTACCCCTTTACATCTTCACTAGGTTTCCTTTTGCCTTCATTTGATGCCAGATCTGCATATAAAGCTCCAGAAAGGCATTCTGCCGTGAGTTATAATGGGAATGAAAATTGGGCAAATTTGGAATGTAAAGTGAGGGAGCTGCTTTAACATAGACCAGGAATTGGAGAAAAGTTTTTTTCCAGGCCAAGAGCCACATTCCATTCGGGGTGGGCTACATTGCAGTGGTGGGCAGGGCCAGGGGCAAAGTGGTCTTCTAAGGGTGCCAATTTGAATAAAATATTTTGGGTGGAAAGACCTTCAGTCCCTACAACTGCGGCAAGCCCTAATGGGAAGAGTGGCTGCTGAGATCATATAGCACCAATCCTGAAAGACCTACATTGGCTCTCAGTATGTTTCTGAGCACAATTCAAAGTGTTGGTGCTGACCTTTAAAGCCCTAAATGGCCTCGGCCCAGTATACCTGAAGGAGCGTCTCCACCTCCATTGTTCAGTCCGAACACTGAGGTCCAGGGCCGAGGGCCTTCTGGCAGTTCCCTCACTGAGAGAAGTGAGGTTACCGGGAACCAGGCAGGGGGCCTTCTTGATAGTGGCGCCCGCCCTGTGGAACTCCCTCTGATCAGATGTCAAGGAAATAAACAACTATCCAACTTTTAGAAGACATCTGAAGGAAGCCCTGTTTAGGGAAGTTTTTAATGTTTGATGTTTTATTGTGTTTTTAATATTCTGTTGGGAGCCGCCCAGAGTGGCTGGGGAAACCCAACCAGATGGGCAGGGTATAAATGTGATTATGATTATGATTATGATTGGAATCACTAGGTCTGATAGATTCAGTGCTCCCCCCCCCCCGGCGGTACTCAAGGGCACGCAGTACCGACACCTCTCTTTTTTGTTGTTAAAAAGTGTGGCACTTACTGCAACAACTTCATGGTGATGAGTACCGGCACCTATTTTTCTATGGAGGGGGGAGCACTGGTGATAATGCTACCAATGGCTACTAGCCAGGATGAATATATACCGCCTCCCATATTAGAGAGAGTCTGCATGTGAATTTCAGTTGCTGGGGACCACGAGCAGGAAAATGCTACTGCGCTCAGGTCTGCTTGTGATCTTTCCCAGGAACTATGTGGCTGGCCACTGTGAGAACGGTGATTGGACAGGAGATTGTTCTGTTCTAGCAGGGCTCTTCATACACTGAACTGAAGGAGGGAAATTACTTGCCCTTCTCTATACCAGCTGAACTGGAGGTAGCTACTGGTGAAACATGAGAAAGGAGACCTTTCTATCTATGAGAACAGTTCCACAGTCACAGAAGTGGGGATGACCCTGAAATGCAGATAATGAAACCAGATTTCCAGGGGTGGATCTTGGGCTGGATCATGCAGATCTAGGAGCACATACCTAAAGAGACTTTCAGCAGTTCCAGGAACAGCCCTGGAAGTCCAGCTGGGAATGGGGGTGCTGTGGTGAAAGCTAAAGCAAGGAAGTAGGTGAAGAATAATGTGGACAGAAAGCTCACCCTGATATTTCATGGTCTTTTAACCATTTTTATAAAAAAAAGTAATACAAAAACAAAGAAACAAGGCTAAACGAATTCTCCAGCTAGAGGTGAACGAAAGGTTCGCCAAATACATTTCTTTCGATAAATTTCTGATATTTCCCCCCTCTTAACCCCAAAGGGCCATTTTGCAGAATTTTTCCGGAATATTTGCCACCGTTCAGAAATGTTAGCTTTAGTTTAGCTTTTTTTGTGGCAGCTGCCATCCCCGCAATCTGGCACAGCACCCTGGAATGATGCTAGGTCTGGGGCACTGAGGAAGATGCAAAATGGTGGCCAGGTGGGGAGGGAAACCAAGCGGGGGGCAGGGGAGAACAAAACTGTTCTACTGCCCCATCCCTGGGGAACTGTTGGATAATTTATCTTCCCCATCCTCCCATATGGAGAAATTTTGTGAAATGGTCTGTCTTTCCCAGTTTCTCTTACCACAAATTTGGTGCAGAATTTCCAGAGGCCATTTGCTCAAAGCTTGAGTACCAACTTTGGTTCAACACAGTGTGAATAACTTGTTTTAAGTGTTTCAGGTACGTGTCCCTGACATGATGTGGAAGTGTGAAGCCAACCTTGGACGAGTGGTCCAGCAATATGGCACTTAAATAAACAAATAAACCCACAAATGCATCTGTGTTTAGGAATTGCAAGCTAACAACATGGTGAGAAGATGAGGAAGATGAGGGCTGGGTCTCTCCACTCCTGGTGGCATGGCAATGCTCCATCACTGGTGGGTGATCCTCAGACAGCCATTACTCTAGACAGCCCCCCTAACTGGAATAGGTTGGACTAAACTGGGGGAGGGAGTTGGAGTTACCCTCTCAGAAAAAATACTATTGCTTGGGTGCTAGGAAAAGGCAAACAGAAGCACATCCTCAAGGAAAGACATTTGGATCCCAATAAAGGAACTAGAAATGACCGTGCATTTTATTGTGCAAAAAAAGTCAGCCGATGGAAATTCCAAAATGATGCCGACAAGATGTGTGTGTTAACTCACTAGTCCAGGCTCACCTTTATTCTGTAAGGTCTTCGGGACAGTAAATTACATATGTGCAGTGTCTAATCCAAAAGAACCTCAGTCTTGTTTTGGCAATAGTTGCTTCAGATACGCACATTCATAAATTCCCTACATGTCCAGTTATTGGGCTCCATTTTGTGCATCGGTTCAACATGTCAATCAGTCTTCCAGAAATGAAAGCTCTCTTTATCATTTTGTCAATCTAGCAACAAAGAGGATAGGAGGACAGGCCAGGATCCTGCAAGTAAAAATGCCATCTCTCCTGAAAGGAGACCGTGTTGACTTTTACTTATAGGGAGAAATAGGTTTGTTCAAAATTGTCTTGCACCGAGGATGGGAGAGGGGATCACAAAGACTTCTATCTGCCTAGTAATCAGTTTGAGTGATTTTTAAAAACCAACATGGCAAAAGCAACCTCCTAACAGAACCAAAGATTTCAAAAAGAGTCTCGTGTGCCTGCAGATGTAGAAACTTTCCTTATGAGGACCTCATCTAAAATGACCCATATTTCAAATCTGCATGCTATCATTACCACATCCAGAATTCCGTGTGTGTGTGTGTGTGTGTGTGTGTGTGTGTGTGTACTACTTGTTGCACATTTCCCTCTTAATGTTTACAGGAGTGTCAAAGAGCCCCAGTCCCAAGCAAACCCATGTCATGCCATTGAGTACAGCTTGTCTCTTTCTGCTCCAAAAGATTTACAACCCAAGACTGCAATCTTCATCCCAATTACTCTGCAACAACTCCGCAAAAGTTTGTTCTGGAACAAACAGTTGCAGATTGCAAACGGCAACCAAAGTGTGAAATGGAAGACAACAGGTGGGTGCCCTGGCCAGACCCAGCAGGAGAACACAAGCTAGTGAATCTGAAGATAGGCAGCTCTGCCGTCCAGCCTGTTAGACCCTGTCGCTTGTTTTCCCTTCCTACTTGGACTCAACAGACAAATATTTTTTAAAACCTGCATATCCCCTGGAGATCTGGGGGAGGGGGAGGGGTGCAACACAGCAGGGAGCTTCAATGATACAGGTGTCTAAAGGAAACTTTTGCATGCAACAGAATTTGCGGGAATATAAACAGAAGCAGGAGGCAAGTTTGCCCAATACTCACGTATCAAAAGAATGGATATCTGCCTTCACTCTCCAGGACGATGTTTAGTATTCTTGTTAATTCCTCTTGGGGAGGGGAAAAGACAAAAAAAAATTCAATTCTCGAGTTGGTATAAATCCAGAATCCGAAATGCTTTTTAACATCTCTCTCTCTCTCCCCCCCACTTCCTTTGAGATACCTGATTATCTCCCCTTCCTTCTGCTTCTGCTGGAGAGGTGGCATCCCTGCTCAGGCCCCTGCGCTCCTACATCTGCGTCCCTGCTGCTGCTGCTGCTGATACTTTTGCACCTGGTCTCTCCAGGGCTGCTGCAGGTAAGAAGGCAGGCAGTCTTGCAGCGTTTGCTGAGTGGAGCCCAGCCGGACGGTCCCCCCGCCCCTCTAGCTCTCCTTCTGCTGAAGTGGGGGGGGGGCGCTTGTTGTCTCTCGCAGGGTTAGGTAGATCAAGCGGTGTGTCAATTACTCCTGGGAACGGTGCCACCAGCCAATCGGAAGAGGTTCCGAGGGGAGCGACAGGGGAGGAGGTGTGGGGCGAGGATGAGGGAGGAAGAGAGAGAATGAATGGTTGAGAGAGAGAGAGAGAGAGATTGAGAGAGAGAGAGAATGAGGAAGGAATGAGGGGGAGTGACATAGTGATTATGATGGAGAGAAAGAGCATAAGGGGAGAGAGAGGGAGGGAGGGAGAAAATGAGAGGGGAGAAAAAAGGGGGAAATGAGGGGGCGTGAGAACGCAGTTGTGACAGATGGTGACAGAGGAGAGTAAGCGCAGGAATGAGAGAGGGGAAAGAGAGAGAGAGAGATGTGGGGAGAAAAGATCTCGCAGGCTCCTGGAGTGTAGTCGAAAGGGAGGCAGAGCTGAGCATTCATGGAAATGCAGGATTTCATACACATCCCATCAGTCTCCCTCTCTCTGGCTTCTTTGAAGTTTTGCAGAGTTTTTTTTGGCTGGTAGAGATGTTCACCTGCTCCGACATCGGTGTCTCCATAAACCATCTTCCCATGCTCGTTAATTCAGAAGTGTGGCTTGGCTTTTAATAATTTGGTGTTATGTAACTTGTTTATGAATGGCTGAGCCGGGGGCCATTTCTACAAGGGGCACTTAAATTTAAACCCTTTGCATTTTTTGGCATCTGTGACTGGAATCTTCACCTTAGAAACTTGTTATTTGCTTGAACAGAAGGGTTCATGGAATCATAGAATTGTAGAGTCAGAAGGGACCCTGAGGATCATCTAGTCCAACTCCCTGCTGTGCAGGTATATGCAGCTGGCCCATATGGGGTTCGAACCCACGACCTTGGCATTATCAGCACCACACTTTAACCAGCTGAGCTGACTGCCCAGGGGAATCTGCTATACACTGAGCCATCGAGCTCAGTAATGTCTACACTGGCTAGCAGTGGCTGCTTCAGGAAAAGTTCTCCCTCAGTCTTACCTCAAGATGCCAGGGACCTTCTGCATGCAAAACAGATGCTATGTCGATCTGCATAATAAGATTTTAAAAATTAAAAATATATGGCTAGAATTAATATACATTTTATTTTTGAGATGCTCCCCAGACCTTTTCATTCCATAAGGATATACAGTGGTACCTCGGGTTACAGACGCTTCAGGTTACATACACTTCAGGTTACTCCGCTAACCCAGAAATAGTACCTCGGGTTAAGAACTTTGCTTCAGGATGAGAACAGAAATCGTGCTCCGGCGGCAGCAGTAGGAGGCCCCATTAGCTAAAGTGGTGCTTCAGGTTAAGAACAGTTTCAGGTTAAGAACGGACCTCCGGAACGAATTAAGTACTTAACCCGAGGTACCACTGTACTTTTATTGCCTTGCTTGATCAGACCAAGTTCCATCTTGTCCAGCATTCTGTAGCATAGACCAGCCAGATGTCTCTGGAAATTCACAAGAAGAGCATGGAGGTGATGGCCATCCCAAATCTTAGTTTCTTCATCTCTTCAACTGTTGCTCAACATCAATGTTGCTTTGGTGTGGCTAACAGCAATTGTTAAATCTGTTCCGCAAATCTACCTCATCTGCTTTGAAAGCCAGTGGAACAGTCCTCAAAACATCTTCTGGCAGCGAATTCCACTGGTGAACTTGTGTTGTGTTAAAATCCTGCATCCACACCATTCACAGGCCACCCATTCCAGACGAAGAGCCATTGGTGGCTGCCACCACCTCTTTCATAGTTTAACTTATTTCATAGCGATGTGAAGAAGCACTTTCTTTTGTCGGTCCTGAATCTTCCAACATTCAGCTTCAGAAACTTCTGCACAATTTTATATACCTTTCTCTTGTTCTCACATTTTTTCTACCCCCTCTCCTGTCCTTTTCCTCTTCCGCACTCTGAAGGTGTCCTCCCGACCCCTTCCCTGCCTCTTTCGCTCAAGTGAGCTTGCTGAGTGCAATTATGAGACACATTCCCCCCATCACTTAGCCGCTAGGAGCCTATTAAGCTGCCTCTTCTCGCCCTTCTAAGTGGAATTTTGAGGACCAAGTTCAGATGCCTAGCTGGGGGTGCAGTTCCACATCAATGGTACGTTTTCTGCTTCTTTCTTCTTGTCTGGCCTCCATTGCCATCACATCTCAATAATTTTGCAATAGCACTTTGTTAGTTGGGTAAAACTAACAATGTCTCGTATTCTTAACAAGCTGGAGAGGATTATGCCATTCCCTTCCCCACTGAGAGACGGAAAATCACAGGAATGAAATGTAATGGGTCAAGAGCTGCTTTAGGTAGCACTCAGCGCTGTCTTTGATGACTGTCCCCAAACTGCCATTAGTTCAGAATACAGCTGTAAATTTTGCCAGTTTATATTGTTAGAGATTCCCAGCTTCTGGATGCAGCACCAGCTGGGCTTGGCAGCGAGAGCTGGGTGCAAAGGATGAGAGATCGCTGGAGATTTGGGGTGTTTGCAGACTGGGACTTAAAAACGGCAACCAGGTTGTTCTGATATTGCAAACGGGACGAGAAAGGGAGAGAAATTTGGGGAGATAGGGAGGCGAGACTTCCCTGTGAGCCAAGGTTGTGGCATTTGGAACTTTTTAGAGAAAAAGGCAAGTATGGCATGGAGAAAGTGGGAAGAGGTCATGGAGATCCAATGAAACAGAATGTTGGAAAGAGTTTGGACTTGATATCCTGCCTTTCGCTCCCCTTAAGGAGTCTCAAAGAGACTAACAATCTCCTTTCCCTTCCTCCCCCACAACAAACACTCTGTGAGGTGAGTGAGGCTGAGAGACTTCAGAGAAGTGAGACTAGCCCAAGGTCACCCAGCAGTTGCATGTGGAGGAGTGGGGAAGCGAACCCGGTTCACCAGATTACAAGTCCACCACTCTTAACCACAACACCACACTGGCTCTCAGATAGAGTCAGAACAGATAAAAGCACTTCTTCATGCAGCACCTAGTTAAATAATGGAACTCGCTCCCACAAATGGCAGTGATGACCACTAACTTGGATGGCTTTAAAAGAGGAATAGACAATTTGGGGAGGATAAGGCTATCCATGGCTACTAGCCATCATTCTGCCTCCAGTCAGAGGCAATAATGCTTCTCAATGCCACTTGCTGGAGACTGCAGGAGGGGAGACTGCTGTTGTGTTCGGGTCCTGCGTGAGGATTTCCCATTGGTGGGCCAGCTTGGCAACAGGATGCTAGACTAAATGGGCCAATGACCCTGATCTAGCAGGTGCTAATGTAGGGGGTCAATCTTTTGAGACCTGCAAACTCCTCCACAAACTGGAGAAACTTGCACACACACACACACACACACACACACACACACACACACTCACACACGGCAAGCAAGCACACACCACAACCTATTGTGCAATTGCTGTGTGGGATTCCTGTATTGCATATTTTAATTCTGGATGTTTATATTTTAATGTTTCAATGAGATTGTCTCATTGTGTGTCTTAATTATGGATGCTCGTAGTTTAATGTTCTGATGGGATGGCTTTGTTGTGCATACTAATTATGGATAGTTACATTTTAATGTTTGTGTAACCAGCGGCGGAGGAAGCTGCTCGGGCACCTGGGGCCCAGGGGTGGAGTGAGCTGCCCTTAGGGGCAGGGTGCACCATGGGGCTTCTGGAGTCTGTCTGCCTCCTCTCATTCAGCTGCCCTACAGCTGGGGAGGCAGCAGGTGGACCGTTTGGGCAGCGCACCCAAGCCACCACATCTCTCCCAGGCCCCACGGTGAGGTCGGCCCACACCCACCGCTCCCCCTTCCTCCGCCCCTGTATGTAACAGGTCCTTTATATTTTGTAAACCGCTTAGAAGCCTATTCTCGAATCAAGTCCTTGATATAAATGAAATGAAATGCTTCTTTCAAGACTCCTTTCAGCTGGGGGAGGGGCTGGGGAAAGGATCCTATGGCTGCCAGGGAAGGTCTCTGCGGCTGCATGTCCACCTGTTGGCACAACACTGCTGATCCCTTTGCTAACGTCATCAGCTTTGGGGCTCCTTTGGGATATTGCTAATTGACTTACCAGTAAGCATTTTGCTCGCAGTTTTGACTTGCATCCACCAGTGAACTGCAGGATTATTAGGGCATTGCAATTTTTATTCCGTGCCATGGTTATTGCACTATTGTGCTTTGAGCACAACTGTATCTGTGGAAAATGTAGCATATAAACAAACAGTCTATAACTATCTGGTACAGCATACTGCTCTCATAGTGACCAGCCAGAGGCCTGTGGGAAGCCCATAAGCAGAATCCATGAGCAATAATATTCTACCGCTGTTGCTCCCAAGCAGCTGGTATTTGCCTCCGATACTGGAGAGAATGGCTATCATGATTCACGACTAACAGCACCCATTGATAGCTTTATCCTCCATTAATTTGTCTAATCACATTTTAAAGCCATCCAGGTTGGAGGCCATCACCACTTCTTGCGAGAGGAAGTTTCGTAGTTTAATTATGTGTGAAGAAGTAATTCTTCTTGTCTGTCCTATAACTCCTAATATTCAACTTCACTGGAGAACCTTGGGGCTTAAAAATTATGCATTTTCTCCGTTCTATGCATAAATGTATACGCTTTGATTGTATCATCATGTTGTGAACTGCCCTGACTGAGATCTATGGATGAAGAGTGGTACATTGAATAAATGGATGGATGGATGAATGGGATGGATCACTCCCGTCTTGCCTTTTGTCTAAACTAAAAAGCACCTTGTGTAACTTTTCCTTACACAAGGAACCAGGCAGAGGGCCTTTCCTTACAGGGAACCAGACAGAGGGCCTTCTCGGTAGTGGCGCCCGCCCTGTGGAACGCCCTCCCATCAGATGTCAAAGAGATAAATAATTACCTGACGTTCAGAAGACATCTTAAGGCAGCCCTGTTCAGGGATGTTTTTAATATGTAATGCTGTACTGTTTTTAACACTGATTGGGAGCCGCCCAGAGTGGCTGGGGAAACTCAGCCAGATGGGCGGGGTATAAACAATAAATTATTATTATTATTATTATTATTATTATTATTATTATTATTATTCCTTGGAAGGAGTTGCTCCATCCCCTTGATTGTTTTGGTTTCCCCTTTGTGAAACTTTTTACCTTCTACAATAGCCTTTTATTTTATTTTTTTGAGGATGACAACCAGTTTTCCCATTGTGGCCACCCTACAAATTTGTAAAAAGCAGGGGTGGGAAGTCTCCAGTCTACAGGCTGAATTTGGGCCTCCAGGCCATTTCCCTTAAACCACACCCTCTTTCCCCATACCTGTCATCATGTGACATATGGTGTAGGGCAGGTACTGATGTGGCTGCAAAGGAACAATTTGGATTTTAAAGCCAGCTCCCAATCATTCATCTGCTGGAACAAAGCACACTCTGCCCTGCTCATCAGCTGATGGGC